TGAATAAATCCAGGAATAAAGTACTGAATATTTTCTGTAAATGTATGAAAAACAGCTTAAAATGGGGATTTAGCGTATATAAAGGGAATTCAGCGAGTAGATAGAAAGTGTACAATAACTTATAGTCTATAAATAAAAACATAATGCAGGCAGATAAACAAAAAGGCAATCATGCAGGGAAGAGAAATGGGCAAATGACAGCAAAAGTATGAATTGTAAATTAAATTAAAAGAAAGTTGCAGCTGTGGAGAACATCAATTAAACACTATGACCCAACAGAACAGTGTTAGAGTCTGGTTTGGATGATTAATTATATTTCAATTATAAATCTTTTGCAAACACTCATTTACTATCTCAATTTTTTTTTTTTCAGAATAAATTGCATTACTACAGCTAGCTACACATACATTCTCAAGGAGTTAATGCTATTTCTGGTTTTTAGTACATTTTAATAAATTTATAAAAGGATTATGGGTTTGAGATTTTCAAATAAAATTTTGTCTTATACAAGGTCTGAATACAATTACAGCTAATATTGTACATAGCACTTGAAGGACTAAATACTAGTACTGCTATATATTTTATTGTGTTTACTTTTCAGTGCAGAGTATAGGAGAGAATGTTCATGTTTCAGCCACAGTCAACACAAGAGTGAAACTTCTGAAGAAAAGGTTAGCTAAAGTAACTTGTCCTTTGAGACATATTATCCATTTCACATATATGTATATTCTATAGACATTTCTTTTAAGAAGTATTAAAACCTATTCTTTATCCTACATTTTATATGCTATTCATTTTATCACATAAATTACAAAATTATCCTTTGAAGCTGCACTTGCACTATTGGTATACTCCAAGACAGAGAGTTTTAAGAACACAGGCAAAGATGTGTATATATATATATATATATATATATATATATATATATATATATATATATATATTTTTATAAACCCCACCTAGTCCTTTCACTAACAGACGTCTCATAAATGCAGACTCAGATGAAAAAGTGGGATGCAGATACATCAATGAAACACGACAAACTCCAACTTGTTGTTGTTATAAGTTGCTTGTTCTCACCTATAAAACAATTACACAAAAACTCTTGCAAAGTTCACATACGAGCAAAATGTGAACAGAGCTCCTAATATTTCAGACACAGAAGGTGGAAGTGGTCCCCCTCTAAATGTGCCAACATGATTCTGAAAATCTGAGTAGAACCAGCTGAGCTCCTCTGCAAGTGTCACAGTCAACTCAGGAGACATTCTGAATGTGTATATTCCATTCAAAAAAGCCTCTCAGTTCATCCAGCTGGTAGAATGCTACTCCTCTTGTGTTAAAATACAGCTGTGGGAAGAAAACAAGAAATAGGTTGTGAAAGCTCAAGGCTCAAGGGAAAAAGTGGGGGAAGATGGAGGTGACAGAATATCAGAAAATATGGCCTAAACATGATGCGGACTTCACGGAACACCACCTGTAGGACCCTGGCAGTCTGTCTTGCATTTCACTGACATTTTTAGCTGGGGTGATGACCACCAAATCGCCATTTTCAAAGGAAGGTGGGTGGATTCAGAGAGACAGCCTGATAGGCAAGATAAGGCCTGATAGGGATCTCAGGAAATAGCAAGAACTCCTCCCTGAGATAAGACGAAGCAATTTTAATAGGACAAATGACTACAGTATGACCTTGAACACACAAAATGGTTTGCAAGGATGTCTGCTAAGTAGCCTACTAGAATCAAGAGAAACACTGTAGACTTCAATACCTAACAGAGATAAACAGAGATAATGGTAGAGCCTGCCAGGGCTGCCAAAAGACAAAACATTTTCCATTTCATCATGCAGATAGGTCCAACAGGAAGTTTTGTACTTTTATAAATAACCCCATGTCAGAGATATGTCTTGTGAGATGAGGCAGTCAGGATCAACACAACCAGGTGAAGTGGCAGCAGGGACTCCTTCCCCTTAGCTCTCAGAAAAAGCAACCTAAAGGTCTGTGATGGCATATCCATATGTGTTACTCCACAGCATCTGAGTGTGCACATAGGGGCACTGCTACCTGAGAATGTCACAACAGTCCTGGCAGTTGAAGAATGGGATCTTGCAATTGTCTTTTGCATCCAGATATTTTATTCAACTTTTATATGAAATAATACTGATGTTCATCAACCAATGTATCTTGCTTTACTTTCAAGTTTATATTTATAATAAATTTATAGTATGCTTTTTCACATATCTTTATTATATACATGGTACATAAATATACTATTTAATATTTAATAATATTTAAATGGCATTGAAATAAAACCAGGAAATAAATTGCAAGCATAATTAGTATGCTTTTTAAAAGAATTTGACTGCTATACTAACGCTTATAGGAGTTTAAGTATCATTGTTCAGGTTAGTGTGTACTTCTACAGGTTAGTGTGTACTTCTATAGTTTTCAATAACTGAAGTTTGCAAAATGTCATCTTTCACTATATATAGAAATTTTAAAAAAAAGTTTATTTTGTTAGAGTCCTAAGACAAACAAGTACATCAAAGGTAACTGCTACTTTTTAAAAATGAAATTAAACAATACTTACCAAAAAGCACACAAATTTAGTGGATTAATATTAGTAATGTGGAATCATTTACCTTTCAACAAGCTGAAAATTTTTGTCTGATTTAACTGATACTCTACATTGCTAGATTACTTTTAAAGCTCTGCTTCAAAAGTTTGTTTCTTTAAGCTGCCCTGTGTGTACCCATTTGTTAAGGTATTTTCCAGTAACACTGATTCTGGGAAAAAAAAATTTTAGCTGATTTTGGTGAGCTCAGAGTGGTGTAGGTGGTAAAGAAGTAAAAAAAAAAAATCACATAGCCAAGGAACGGCAGCAATCTCTGATCCGTTTTCAAAGCAATTCTGAGCAGTTCAAGAAGAACAGCAGAGACCAAGGACTACCTGAAAGTCAAAGCTTTTTAGATCCGAGTCAATCCATAAATTTATTTTTCTACTTAAGTCTCACAGAATTTCTGTGATTACTTTGCAAGTTAGAAAAACAAATGCACACACAAAAAGCAACACACAGTCCCCACTTAACAGTTTTTCCTGCTGTCTACTTCCACAGTTCCAGCTTAACTAAGCAAATTTTAGACTAAACAGCCAGTATTGAAGTCTATGTACTTTCACAGTATGAGAGAACCTCATCATCAGGTGTTTAAATTCTGAATTCTGTGTCCCTTGATTTTGAAGTATTTTGCTGTTACTAGAAGTTAAAGCTTCTGTTACTCTTCTACAATAGTACAACTATTGTAGCCAATAAGTATAAAAATGTGAAAGCATTTATGCTGATGGAAGTGAAAGAAAAGAAGAAAGACTGCCTTTGGACAGCAACCTTCAGACTTGCATAGCTTGTAATAACCATAATACAAGTGTTTGATACACAGAGTTTACGACCACTAAGAGAACAAGCTGTGATACTCTGAACTCTACAATAAAATAATTTCATTTCCTTGTACACCAAAGACTTGTAGGTTCCTAAACTGTATTTTAATTTTTAGAAGTTAAAGATACTTTACTACACTTTAACAATTTAATCCCTAAAATGTAAACTCTCAGAAATAATGACTTTCATAGAGATTCTCATTATTGCAAAGTTATTAAATTAATCTCATTAGAATTCTAATTCATCCCTCTCTGGTTTGAGCACCTAAGATATGTGATCCCCGTGGTTTTATATTAAAATATCACACAAGAACTGAAGTATCTCCATACCTAAGAAACCATACTGATATCAAGACTACATATGATTTATGTCTCACCAAACTAAAGCACAACTCTGTGTTGTTCATCTATGAAGAACTCCCTTATCAGTCTCTGGAACATTTAGGTGTCTACTGATCTCAAAATTTACTTCTGTTGACCTTCCATGTAGCATAGGATGGCACAGTTGGAGACTACTCACTATGAGGAAGAGGCTTCTGAAAACAACTTGGCAAGTATAGCTGCCTTGCTATGCACTGGGAGTTGCATGCAGAAATCTTTAACACCGAGATAAAACACCTAAACATTAAACTTTCCCACAGTCTTAAGATGCACAGGTATTTTGAAACAAAGGTGCTAAGGGAGTTAAAATCTCTCAAAAATGATAACAATGAAACTGCTTCTACCAAAAAAAGAAGTCAGAAAAATTTAACCTTTTGCCTGTTCCCTCCATAAAACCAGAAAGTAATATATAAAACCTTCTAAACAAAAGATAAATCTGTTCAATTTTATTATAGCATGTTTCAATAGCATTTCTTACTAATTGTTTTGACATCATGGACTTGTGAATGCCTGTTTGTTTGCTTTTTAAATGATCAATGTAATGAGAGTTGTTACTCATAAAAATAAAGAGATCTTACACATCCTCTCCTATCTCCGTATGTGTATGAATGAGAGGGAGCATACCAGAGATGAGATTTTTCACCCCTGATAAAGACAACCTACTTTTGCACTTTTTGATATCATTCATTTTCTATCCTGGGAATTTATTATAAAATCAAATTACCTGTAGGATAAACCTTCTGCAATTACCAGTAAGACTATTATTTTTCAGTTTAAGGACACTTTTGATTTGAAGTTGCATTTTACATACTGTACAGATGACTAAACATATATTTAAATATCAAATTCAGACATTTTTTTGTTCAAATCTATTAAACTGAGAAATCATTCCCTTCTGGCTGCCTGTATTTCTCTTTAATCCTGGTCAGTGTAGGACCTTATTACAAGTAATTTGCTACTATATGGCTGAGGAAAAAATGCTAGCCTTACAATTTTTGCCATTTTCCCCCCACTTCCCCTGCAGGTTGCTACTGTTGATGGCCTTTATGGAAATATAAATTCAATCAGCAGCTCCAAATTTCACAAGATGTCCATCTTCATGTTGAATTTCTAACTGAGTGTCAAAACAATCTGTGAATTTCTCCCTGATGAAATACACTTTGAATTGTAAATTTCTGCAATTTTCTCATGTTAGAATTCGAGCTGCACTAAAATAGAGCTAGCCTAGATATAGTGCCTACCAGCTTGAGACAAGTTATTTTTCCCCTCATTATCTTGCTCCACTGTTGAAAGGGTTAAATAATAACCAATGAAAAATGACTGAGTTTTTTTCTTTTACATTAAAAATTAAATTACATTTTCTGTTCTTTTTTAGTAGTAGAAGAAAATAGAAAACAACTTCAATACATTCCAAATGCTCTCAAATTAGTTATTTGAACCCACTATTCTTTTTACAGTATTTTGCAGTGATAAAGCCCCAGAAATTAGCTGCTATAAAACTTAAAGAATTTCCTATAGTGTCAAAATGATGCAATATTCAAGGAGAACAAGTTCAGTTCACAGAGACAGTTTGTTTCTTCTAAATCTTGATTTATATTAAATGGTGATGGAAAACCAAAATGACTAAAATCAAATCAGTACAGTTTTGAACAGTTTGGTGTTCTCTGAATACAGTAAAGCAAAATACAATTTTTCATTCAATTATTGTTTCTTACAGTAACTTAGAAAGCACACATAGCCTACCAGGTATACTAGAGAAGCTCGATTATTTTGCTTCAGAAGAATGTTTCTCTCTTCGGTAGACATGAACATGAAATATGTAAAACAATACTACTTTTCCAACTTGCAAGCCAGCTAAATATGTCTGTTCGTTACATGTTCTTCTAATCTCCCTTCCATATATAAAAATAGCATTCACAAAGAGGAATTCACTGATAAAGATGATTTATCTATTCATGCAGTTAATAACTGACTGCCTTTCTATTTGTCTTCTTCTCTCCAGGGATAAATATCGTGGTGGGGTGGGTGGGGGACTTACTGAACTGTACTTTATTAACACTTTTGAAAAGAATGATTCTGTTTTGTATGTTTCAGTACAGATGCCATATTCCAAAACACAAAACTTCTTTTGGTTTACAGAAAATTCAGTGAAGCATCTTCTTTTTGTATACACCAAACTTTCACTTAGTTATCACAATGAGGAAAGAAACCTAAAAATGAGTAGCTACAGAATAATTCTCTTGCAGAAGACTTTCACTGTAGTGAGGTTTTCATCATTCTTAAAATGTCATTAC